CCACCATTTTCGTCCGGTTTTTTTTCGTCCTGGAAAAACCTACGAAAAAAACCAGGACTCGCACGCACGAGCGAGACTGCCCTCGGGGGGAGGCCTCCAGATCCCTTCGCTGCCAGATCCCTCCTCGCGATCCTCCCGACGTCCTCGCGCCGCCGTCCTCTTCTTCTCTGCGACTCCTCTGTGCACGACGCCCTGACCGACGCCGGCGAGTCCTCGGCACTCCGCGTGCGCCTCGCATCCAACGCCGGGGAGGATCGCGTGACTCCGCCCGCGTCGTCGCCTCCGACGCTGGCCTCTCCTTCACCACCGTCCCTGCCGGCAGGGTCCCCCTCGTCATGGCCTTCCTCGCCTGGGTGTACGTCACCAGCTGGTACGCTTATGCCTTCCCTCCCTCCCTCTCCTTCCCAGATCTCTCCTCTGCTCAACACCTCTGATCTCCCATTGATTCGTCTGCAGGCCATATGGCAGGACGCGCAGACCCGGGCGATCCTCTCCGGCCTCCTTGAGAAGAGCTCGACTCCAGCCCGGCGACGACGATGACCTGATTCCTACCCGTGGACGATGATGTGCTCTGGCCCAACCGCATCGACCTCAACAAGCCTCGTCAAGAATCGTCACCGTGGGCTGCGCCCCTCTCTTCCTTCACGACCAGGAGTTGTCGAGGAGAACCATCAACTTGATTGATTGGTTGTCTACTTGAAAAGAAAAGAAGATGAAGTACGTGACCGTTGTAGCTACTGTTGAATTCATGTATATACATTGATTGTTCATCCAATTTTGTCTACTGTTTTCCTAAAGGACGAATGAGTGGATCTGAAGGAGAGAGGGCGAGAAGAAGAGGCGCCGTGTGTCTTGTAGTGGGTGAGAATTGTCTAGCCGGCAATGGATTTCCAGCAAGGGTGGCAGAGAAAAATCCATGACGAGATGAACACCACCACGACAGCATCATGAATGTCATCGAGGTACCTATGTTTCCTCAGTCCTACCAGGAAAGTTTTCAGATAGTTACTGCTAAGAACTTCTATGCAGTTCTCTTGGGCAATAAAACTGCAGTCACTGGAGGGAGCAAACCAAATGACCATATATCTACTACTCAGATCACGGGGGTTCTGGAGTCCTTGGCGTGTGCAAGTTATATCCACTGTTTTGTTGTATTAATTTGTTTTCTTCATCTTGTGTATTGACCTTTGCAAGTTTCAGGTATGCCCAACCTGCCATATCTCTATGCTGCGGATTTTATCAAGGTCTTACAAGAAAAACATGCATCCAACACCTACGCAAAAATGGTAAGGCTGCCCTTAGTTACCTTTTTGTGGTAACCTTGTCCTGTATATATGTGGAAGCTTGTGAAAGTGGCAGTATTTTTGAGGGTTTGATGCTTGCAGACCTCAATATTTATGTCACAACAGCATCTAATGCAGAAGAAAGCACCTGGGGTACATACTGCCCAGGAATGGAGCCATCGCCTCCTTCTGAGTATATTACCTGCTTAGGTGATCTCTACAGTATTTCCTGGATGGAAGACAGGTATGTAACTCGTAACCTGAATTCACAATGATAAGATTAATTTACAGAGTACCAGTGTTTAGCAGAATAGGGTACAATGACCAGCATCTGATGAGTTATATTTGGTTGCATTACTTTGCACTGCATAGTACCTCAAGGAGGATTTTGTAACAAGTCATGTCCATTCCTTCCTTTAGTTCCGAAGTACATGGCATAGAACCTGCTAATTTGGATTACACAAGTCTGCTGAAGAATCTGTTTGTATATTAAGCATTCACTTAATGACATGTTTGGTTATCCTGGTTCCAGGCTCAGATTGTTTGTAGAGTAATCATACATCAATAGTGTATGTGTGGTCTGTATAAAATGGATAGGCATAGATTTTCTTAATCAACTTGGTGCGCATTATTGGTTCTAGCTGAAATATCTTTTCCCCTGCATCTTACACTAAGGGAGATTCAGGGAAGAAGTGAGGTGCATAAAGTATAACAACAAGGCAGGCAAGATACTGGTGGTGTAGGCTTCAACATTCAGTCGTTGTGGCCACAATGCACTCTTATTTCATAATATACCTTGCATGTTTTTTATTTGAGAGGGAATTAGATTTAGCCTAGCCGTGCTATCCATCCCAGATGCTAATAAATTGTGTAACTACGTAAGTTCTTTTTTGACTCAGAAATAGCATCGGCTGCATAGATGGAGTACGTTTTACATGTTTTTTTGTTGTTGGAAAAAGTATGCTTTTCATCTTAACCATACACTTGAAAAAAAAATGCTATTTTGCCAAAGAATTTCTTGTCAGCTATGGTATTTAAGCTCAGAGTTACTAACTCAATGAGGTGTATTATAAATTTGGAGGTACTAATTTTTTTTTCATATACATAAATGTATTTGACACCTCTGAGCATCTACAGATCTTGCAATTGCTAGATAGCATTTGCCTTCCAAATTTTTTCCTTGAGACCATGTGGGTCTGAAGATAAATTGTTTAATAGTGAATGTTGTTATGTTTATGCAAGTTGGATGCTATTAAAAACTTCTTATTTCCCATTTTGGGTATGAATTATGCTTTATACTAGCTGTTAGAGAAATATTAGAACACAGTGTGCATGATAGTTCTTTTTAAAATACCTAAAGAACTTTGGGTCCTGATGAACTCACAGAAAAAGAGATTTGAAATTAGGTCCAAGCCTAAAGAAGGGCCATGCCTAAAATAGAACACGGCACCCCTTTCTAAAATTACTAACGGGGTTGATGTTGTTGCACGTCGTGGCGGGGACGGTCGTGTAGCAGCCGTATGTGCACCGCTTGTGCTAGGCGCCGATCTGGAGGCCCCTGATCGGAAGGGAAGCCACTGGAGCTGCTGCGGGAGATGGTGGCGGTACGCTGGTAGAGCTTGGAGCAGACGTGGAGGGGCCGGACCTGCTGGTCCTTGAAGGTGCTGAAGGTGCTTTGAGAAAAAAATCAGTTAGGTATGATTCTCAGTTCTCACTACCTCCGCGTGATGCAATTAAAATTTCAAATCTTTATTGTTATTTCCAATTAATTTCGCGGCTGATTCGACAATATCAGTTACTAACTTAATTCAAATGGCTGACCAATTATCCGAGACAATTTTATAGTGTTTTACTTTATTTATATAACTGTTATCCTGTAAATTTAGTTTGTTTTAAAGGTTTGCCATGTTTCTTTAAAATTTATCCGTTGAATTTGTATGTCTGCTCCACTGGGCTGCTGCTGCAAGCTTTCATGTTTGGCTCTTGCACCATTGTTTCATATTTGTATGCTCTATTTTCCTGTTCAGTCATTTTGGTCTTTATATATGGCTTGTGTTTGTGGGAATCTTATTCAATCAAAGGTTATAAGATATATTACATTGCCTTTGTTGTTTCTCATATATATCTTACATAGATCACTATATGAAAAACTTAACCCTGATGAGGTCGCGGTTATGTTACGTGTTGACTACATATATAGTTTGTTCTACAAATCATGGCATTGAACTTGCAAAGTCAGGTTGGATGTAGCTCTGATATAATTATGTATGAAGTGATATGAAGGTGCGCTCATGTCTTGCAAGACATCCCGCTTCTGTGTCAGGCAAATGTGCACATCATTGACACCATTGATGCATGAGCACTAATAATTTTTTTCCATCTTTGGATGTTCCATAGGAAGTTCAGATTTTTATTGACCATTTTTGTACATAACGATTTATTTTTTTCATTGATAATTAGGTGAATTCATTACAGTTTGAAATGATCTATATGGAGGTCACATTGTTTTTTAGGGTATTAGTCCCCTGGTGAAGTGGTGGGCATTATCAATGCTGCTGCATTTTAAGGTAGTGGTCAAAATGCTAGCTAGGATAAATTGGAAGGAGCCGATCATAGTTTTTCGGCTATCACTCGCTTGTAGTGTTTGCAAATGGTGATAATTGTCATACTACTCGGTAACAGCCTTACTCGAATCAGCCTTGACCTTGTATAATATACATAGTGATTTGGTGCATGGTATTTTTTAGTGAATTTGATCAAGATTTTGTTATTTTAAGTACATTTGTACATTCCGTTGTTTATTTAAATAAATTTCCCAGTAAGTTGATTTTCCAGCATGGTCATAATGTTGACATTATGAATTGATTTGTGAAGCACAAAAACACAATAACAGTTGGGAGGGCTGCTTTATATCCCTAGACCCCTACCCACACCTGACCGCCATCTCCCTCTTTCCTCGGTATCATAACCTGATGCGACGTTGGCGGCGCAGCAGTCCGGAGGAGGCCAGCAGTGCCGACGACGGCTCTGCGATGGGGAAAGGTCGCTCATCATTGCGGCACCAGCAGTTCCACGATCACATTATATCCGCGTGTTGATGAGCAACATGACTCTCCGCCCTTCCTCCCTCCAGGTACCTCTCCAAACCCTAAACACCCCTTAGGTTCACAGTTTATCACTATACTACTATTGTTTAATTAGATGGTAACATAAAACTTGGAGTGTCTGATCGGAATTCTTATTCACTGCTAGAGATGCTAATTGGGTTCTCTCTGCCTCTCACAAGTTTATCCTTGTGTTATATCTTATTCAGGGTAAAAAAATGCCCAGAATAAAGAAATGATGAATTATACTGTACTCATTATTGTAGTTAAAGATTACATTTAAAATTGATCATTGATCACGTGGGATGCTGCCAACTTGCAGGGTCGATGACACATTAAATTGCCATATTGCTTTTCCCTCTTCTTCGCATGTTAGGAATATATCTTTATCAATAGAATTTAATATTTGTGTTTTCGCATGCAGGAAGAGACATGATCATATCGATCACCAGTCATGGAGTCAAGTGGTTGTTGTCGTCAAGCTAAATGTTGGTGAGTGCCAAATGAGAAGATATATGTTCTAATATTCCTGAGCTGGACATTATGGTAAAATATTAATTTTAGAAATTTTGCCAATCATACCGGTCTGTAGCTATATCACATTGCAAAATTCCATGAACATGTGGTCCACATTATTTTTCACATTGCAAAATTCCATGAACATGTGGTCCACATTATTTTTCTATTATATTTTTCCTGCCCAAGCGTGGATGCAGGTGGATGTGGGCGCCGCGGCTGCCACCAAGGATGTAGGGGTCATGCTACAACCGGTGAGGACACAATAGGCACTTTTTTTTGGGATGGAGGGAGTATTACATTCCTTGTAATCGCATGCTATATTTTCAGTGGGAATTCATTGACACAGTTCCTTACAAAAGTTGTATCTTTGACATAGGCAAACTGCTCAAGTGATTATATCATCCATTCTGATTTTGAGGGAAATATATCCAAATGAACAGTATGATGAACCTAATGGCTCTCTATCCTCATTTCTCTAACATGCAAGCGTCATAAATTTTAAAAAGCCCGTGGCAACGCACGGGCAGTCTACTAGTCCTACTAGGTTTGGAGTCCTAGTAGGACTCCCCCCCCCATGGCGCGCCTCCCCTCTTGGCTGGCCTCCTTCTCCCCCTCCTTTATATACGTGGCCAAGGGGCACCCCATAGACAGACAAGTTGATCTTTTAGCCGTGTGCGGTGCCCCCCTCCACAGTTACACACCTCGGTCATATCGTCATAGTGCTTAGGCAAAGCCCTGCATCGGTAACTTCATCATCACTGTCGCCACGCTGTCGTACTGACGAAACTCTCCCTCAGCCTCAACTGGATCAAGAGTACGATGGATGTCATCGAGCTGAACGTGTGCTGAATGCGGATGTGTCGTACGTTCGGTACTTGGATCGGTTGGATCGCGAAGACGTTCGACTACATCAACCGCGTTAACTAACGCTTCCGCTTTCGGTCTACGAGGGTACGTGGACACACTCTCCCCTCTCGTTGCTATGCATCACATAGATAGATCTTGCGTGATTGTAGGAAACTTTTTGAAATTACCTGATGACCCACAAGTATAGGGGATCTATCGTAGTCCTTTCGATAAGTAAGAGTGTCGAACCCAACGAGGAGCAGAAGGAAATGACAAGCGGTTTTCAATAAGGTATTCTCTGCAAGCACTGAAATTATCGGTAACAGATAGTTTTGTGATAAGGTAATTTGTAACGGGTAACAAGTAATAAAAGTAACTAAGGTGCAGCAAGGTGGAACAATCCTTTTTGTAGCAAAGGACAAGCCTGGACAAACTCTTATATAAAGGAAAGCACTCCCGAGGACACATGGGAATTATCTTCAAGCTAGTTTTCATCATGCTCACATGATTCGCGTTCGTTACTTTGATAATTTGATATGTGGGTGGATTGGTGCTTGGTACTTCCCTTCCTTGGACAAGCATCCCACTTATTATTAACCCCTCTCGCAAGCATCCACAACTACAAAAGAAGAATTAAGATAAACCTAACCATAGCATGAAACATATGGATCCAAATCAGCCCCTTACGAAGCAACGCATAAACTAGGGTTTAAGCTTCTGTCACTCTAGCAACTCATCATCTACTTATTACTTCCCAATGCCTTCCTCTAGCCCAAACAATGGTGAAGTTTCATGTAGTCGACGTT